ATGAAGGAGGCCGGGATGGAGCAAGTCATGTGTGAGGGCACAGGGGCATGAGGGGAATGGGGGCAGAGGGTGGTGAGGGGTGGGCATCAGGGAAAAATGGAGCAAAGGGGGCAGGGGAAGTGAGGGAAGGGGGAGGCACCAGGAGGGTGCAGGAGTAAGAGAAGGTGCAAGTGCCAGGGGATTCTGGTGGTGAAGCAGAAGGGCAGACACCTGCAGGGGAGGGACCACCACCAGAGGAAAGAGGCAGGGGGGGTTTTGGAAAGAGGCAGGGCAGGTTTGTAGAGGGAGGTGTTAGAAGAGGGGATGAGTAGGGGTAGCTCACATAATCAGAGTGGGGCTACTAGAGAAGTGGGCACAGGGAGGAGAGAAGGGCTGGTGGAGGAGGGCAGCTTGCAGGAGGGCTGAGGGCTGTGAGAAGGGCAGGAGTCAGGACAGCCGAGGAGGGTGAGGAGTTGGGAGGCAGCAGGCACCAGGGGAGCTGATGGAACAAGGGGAGGAGACATGGCAGCAGAGAGAAAAGGTAAAGGTTTAAAAATATTTAACAACAACTTGGGTGCCACAGTGGGACATCCAAACAAGCCACATGAACTCAGTACTGGTGCACAACACAATTCATTTTGCTCATGCGAGGAAACTTAGGCTATGTTTCCACAGGGGGTTTCTTGCACAAGAACATCTTGCGCAAGAGTTCTTGTGCAAGAACACATCCACACTGCCATGTGTGAGCTGTGCTTTTGCACAAGAGCATCTATAGCAATGTGGACGCTCTCTTGCCCAAGAAAGTGCCGATGGCCATTTTAGCCATAGGGCTTTCTTGCACAAGAAATTCATGTTGCCTATCTACACTGGCCTCTTGCGCACGAACAGTTGCGCAAAAGGGCTTATTCCTGAGCAGGAGCATCATAGTTCTTGCGCAAGAAGCTCTGATTTCATACCTGAGAACTCTGTCCCCGGCTCCCACCAGCACATTTGGGACCACATTAGTGAGGCTTGGGGGTCTTTGGAGGGTTGTTGGATTTTTTTTGCATCTCACTTGTGTGGCCCCAACAGACTTTTCTGTGGGTCAGTGACCCTTGACTCAAAACAGGTTCCTCACCCCTCTCATAAATAAAGACAATGCTAAAACCTTTTGAGTTTGACATAATATTTTATTTAAAAATGAAGCCTGGCCAACAGACCCCCAATTGGGGCCAAACCCCCATCTCACTGCAGCATCATAACACTCCTGCACCACGTGACCCCAAATCTGAGCCTATCATACACTGGAGCCCCCTGTCCTGAGCCGCTTACATCCCCAAACTCCTGCACCCCACATCCTCAGTTTTCTGCCACAACACTCCTGCACCATCCACACATGGCAAATCTGTGTCCTGAGCCCATCATACTCACAACCTTCTTGCCCTGAGTTCCTCACATATCCAGCCCAAACTCCAGCACCCTCACATCCACAAGCCCATAGCTTGCTCAGCACCCCAACCCAACACTCCTGAGCCTGGAGCCCCCTCCCCGAGCCAACATCCCCTTCTCCTGCATCCAAATTCCCTCCCAGAGCTTGTACTTCTCACCCCTTCCCACATCCAAATCCCTCATTCCCACCCCACACCTATCTCAATCTAGTGAGAGTGTATAAGAGCTGGAGATAGCAAGTGATGGAGAGGAGGGGAACAGAGCAGATGATGGAGAGGAGGGGAACAGAGCAGATGAGGCCTCAAGGAAGGGGGGTAGGGGCCTTGGGGAAGGAATGTGATTTTTCATGCATTTGTGGGGATTTTCATGAATTGATGGTCCCCTCCACCCCCCGCCCTTTTTTTTTTTTTTTTTTTGCTTGACAAACCTAAGGGTTCCTTGAAATTCTGAAAAGCTGAAAAGGGTTCCTCGGCCAAATAAAATTGGGAAACACTGCTCTACAGAGAAGCAAAAGGGAAAATAATAATGAAAGTGAAAGAGCCACCTCTATAAATACAGTTCACTTCTCTGCACTAAGGACAAAAAGGAAAAAGAGAAAGGAAGCTATATTTCAGACCTGAAGAAAAACAGAACATATTGAAACCTCAAAAGCTACTTATGAAACATGTTGATTTAGGAGAAAAAAAAGTCATTTATTTAATGAGTAGATAGTTTCAAATACAGTAAAAGTGCAGTTGTCCAGCATCCAGTGGTCCAGCACTCCTGATAGTCCAGCACCCCCTGGACTATCCAGAAGTGCTCCAGGCAGCTGGACAATTGGAGCTCCTCTGCCCCAGGGCTTCCCCGAGTCAGCTGCTAGTCAGTTTCAGCAGTGGCTGACTTGGGGACACCTGGAGCAGAGCAGCTGGGATGCTGCAGGGTTGGTCCCGCAGCGCCATTTCCCCCCCTCCCCCCACCTCAGACCCCTCATAGCCCTCCCTTCTGATAGTCCGGCATATCTGATAATCTGGCACCTCCTGGGTCCTAAAGGTGCCGGATTATCAGAAGTTTACTGTACTTTTTTTGGTCAGCTTGTATTTTATACTGCAGAGTGTACAGCATGTAACTGGGTAGCCACAGGATTTTTTTTAATAGTTAATTTTTACAACCTTATGCTTAACATCAACCACCAGTCAGTTCCTATCGCTGGCCCTACTGCTTGCCCACTCTCCTGTGTTTCAAATAGACCATATCATCACTGGGCCCTTTTTAACTGACTCTGAACTGGGCAAGTGCTCCATGCAACTAGCCAATACCATTGGAGTCTCCAAGACAATCCAAGCTGCAGCATGTCAAGCAATGACACACAGTGTTGCAGGGTACTCACTGTGATGTAGTGTCAGTATCTTGATGGTTGCTATGCTTGGGCTGTGGGTGACCCCTACTGGCCTCTGTCTGTAAACACTGCCCAGTGGGGGGCGCCTTGAGGGCCCCCCATGACAGTGACTGAGTTGGTCCTACCAGTTAAGGGAAGGGATGGAACAAAGGAAGTGAGTGTTGGGGGAAAAAGGTCAGTTTCTGGCTGGAATCATGAAGGAGACAGACTAAGGAGGGGGGCTGGGAGTTAAGGGCCAAGGCACCCCATCTCAAGGGGTCTGAGGCATCCTGGCCCAGACTCCTGTAGTCATGTCATCTGGAAAAGCAATAAACCCTCTCTATTCTACTGGCTGGTGGAGTGTGGTCTTGCTGCTACAGGATCAGGGGGAACCCCGACTCGCTGTCACACTTACTGATTTTGTTGGTGGGCTGTGAGAGCTACATTTGGCCAGTAAGAACACTACAGCTTGTCTCAGAAGATAAGCAAATGCTAAATAAATACTGCTCTTTACAAAAAGACATTTAAGCCTTTTAATTGGGGGGTGGGGTTGACAGAATTTCTGGCACTTTGGGAAAGATGGGGGGCTGGCTCTGTGCTCTTGGAAGGGACATGCTGTCAGGCAGAGAATGCAGGCTGGGGGCAAGCCTTCCCGCACCAACCCTTGAGGGCTGGTCTGGGCTCTAGTGGCAGTTTAAAGGCCCAGGGCTCCTGGTTGCCACCCCTATGGTAATGGCCAGGGCCCATGTCTTTTGCTCCCTGTTGGAGGGCCTGCTCTTAACTGAAACAGATCTGAGCAGGCGCCCCATACAGGCTTCCTTCCAGAGAAACCAAGATATTGCTTACAGTCTGCAGAAGCCAGGCATGAGTTTCCAGGAAAGAATGAGATTTAAATTCTGCTCTTTGGTTTTGTATTGACTGGTGGCAACACCTTTGTGTCATTCAGAACAGTTATTAGTGACCAAGATCGTATATCCCTATGTTAGGACACAAACATGTAATGTTTCCTAAATCTTATAAATGAAGTACCTGAGAGTGCAGAGGTGGGAAAAGATATGAGGTTTCTAAAGTGACAGTTTCTGGCACACAGAGGATAACTGCCTACTCTGCTATATACTATTTACTTGTTGGGCTCAAGTGGATGAGGTGAAATGGAACCACCTAGGGAAAAAGATAGCAAGCATAATTTTAGTATATCTACACAAAATTGACAGAATTAAGATTATACAGATAGGAAGTGTCATAATTACGGTCAACTGCTTAGTGTTTGATTTTGCAACCTTAACTTTTTAACAAACAAACAAACAAACAAACGTGTCCACCACCACCACCTCCTCCTCCTCCCCTTAAAACTACACTTATTGGGGGAGACCTGCAAGACTCAGAGCGGCTAATGACTTCCAGCACCTTTTGTCTGGAGGTCTCCAATTGAAACCTACCTAACAATAGAGTTTACTGATATTGTGGAGATAAAAAGATAATTTCACACTACATCCTGCAGGCTAGTGCTTTTTGCTAACACTAGCTTTACACTCATTTTAATGCTCAAATGAGTGGTTACACCCACATTGTTTTCAATTAACTCATTACATAGGCATACATCATATAGCTGCACAGAACTCATCACTTATGCTTTGTCTGCCCTGGCACTGCCTTAGTAGGGGGCACTGCCTCTCTGCCCTGGTTTAACTTCTTAAGGAGACCCCACTTGGCGCTCAGCAAAGAAGGGGTGGCAGAGCAATCTCCTTCCTCAACTGGAGGCTGCTTTGCTTTTGCCTGTTGAGGCACAGGGAAGAGACTGAAGTAGTCCATTACAATGAGGAATTCGCAGGAGCCTTGTGTGCAGGTGGTAGGGATTTTTCCCACATTCATTTTTCCTTTTGATGCTCTGTAAACTAACTTTTCCAAACTTCCTTAACTTTGGAAAAGCTACAGAATTAAAAAAGACCCCAGTTTTGGGCAGCATTAATTTTGTTGCACTGTGGCAGGAAGGGGAAAGGAAGGAGGCATAAACATACATATTCAAAAAGTGAAAAAACCTCTAATTTCAAAGCCTGCAAAATGGAAACACTTCAAAAATTATGTGCATTTTCCCTATCTCCCTCACATTTTTTGACCACCTTGGACAAGCTTCCTTGCTGCTTTTGAGTAGTGTCATTTTCTAGCATTTAAAAGGTTAAAAGAGTCTGATTCTTCAGTCTGTAGCTGGAAGGGATATGTTTTGCTGTGCGGGGGGAGGGGACTCTACATAGACTGGTTGCACCTTTTCCTTCCCCTTTAGGGGCTGATAAACAACTGGGTGAATAACAGTGACAGCCCAAGGCACCAAGTGACTTTTAACCACCCCAGCCTCCAGATACTTGTCTGTCTCCCTTTTGCTTTAGTTTTCTTTGTAAACCCAGTAGTTTGAGAGTTCATAGAAGCAAGAATTTCCTGCATAGCTTCAGTCTCAGACAGTCAGGCTCAAGGAACAGAGTCCTGCCGAGACTTAAATAGCCTTTCTTAGTTTCGTAACAAGTGAAAGTAAAACAGGACTGGACAGAGTATGGGGGCAACATGAATTGCTGTCATAAGTGGCAGCTCCAGACACTGATGCTTTCTCTGCAAATTCACTGCAGGAACGTCCCCAGACTTGTGAGTATTCTACATACTTTAACAATGTCCATTAGTCTTGTGTTTCTTGTTTGTTTTCCCATTAGATCTTTGTGTTATTGAAAAAGGACTTGTGTTCTGCTTAACTTTTAATAACTATGTACGGGTAAACTAATCAAGCCTTCTTCCAGCAAGTTTCCAGTCCTACATTTGCTTCTGATTGCCTCAATGTTTTATAATTTTTCAGTGACCTTTTTCTAGCCAAAAAATTCTTTCCCTTGCTGCTGCGTGAAAGACAAATGCAAGCAGAGACCATCAACTGTAGTCAGTGAAAGTAACTAAACAGAAAACAGTGCAAAGTACAAAGTAAACTGAGTGAGGTGGAAGATAAGAATACTGGGGCATTCTTACAGACTACTTTTGAAAATGATAGGATAGATTTTTCAGTGACCTTTTTCTAGCCAAAAAATTCTTTCCCTTGCTGCTGCGTGAAAGACAAATGCAAGCAGAGACCATCAACTGTAGTCAGTGAAAGTAACTAAACAGAAAACAGTGCAAAGTACAAAGTAAACTGAGTGAGGTGGAAGATAAGAATACTGGGGCATTCTTACAGACTACTTTTGAAAATGATAGGATAGAGCATGGGTTCCCAAACGGGGGGGGGGGGGGCGAGAAAGACTCCCG